AGGATCCGCTTGATAGTTGTTTGTTACAGGTAAGACGAATCAGCTGAGTTATGGCATCCCGACTCACAGAGCACTTTGCCCGTGTGGTGAATGGGCGTGTGCACATGTTGGAATGAGTATGTGTGTTTGTGTGTGTGTGTGTGTCGGTGCAGTTTCTTGACACAGCCACAGATGCTCCTGTAACCCTGTCACAATGAAATGTGGGACCCATTTCCTCCCATTCCCAGCTGAGCCCTGTGGAATTGGAAAGTAAATATATAAATAATAGAACAGATAATTTAAAAAAAAGGCAAACACTCCAAAGGTGTTATTCTTCTCCTCTGACCTGATGTGGGGGCTGTTTTCTGTGTGTGTGTGTTTCAGGAACACTTCACGCCAGAGTGCAAGTTTAAGGAGTGCGTGTTCGAGAACTACTACGTGACCTACTCGTCCATCCTGTACAGACAGACCCAGTCGGGCCGAGCGTGGTACATCGGCATCAACCGGGACGGACAGGTGATGAAGGGGAACCGCGTCAAGAAGACCAAGGGAGCTGCACACTTCCTGCCCAAACTCATCGAAGGTACAGTACTGTCATACTTCCTGTCTGAGCTAGTTTACATTGTTCCCAGTGGCTGGTGGTATTATAGTTTCAGGTTGTGCGTCTGTCCATTCTTGTGATGGAAGCCAATGGAATTTCAGTTCCAAACATTCACTTGGACTAAAAGATGTCCTGATTAGAAAGTGGAGGTCAAAGGTCGAGGTCACAGTAACCTCAAGAAACGCTCCCATGTTACAAAGAACCGTTTCAGATCTGGCACAAAGATTAACTGATTACATTTCAGTGACCAAAGGACAAAGGTCTCTCTTATGAATCTGGAAAAAGAAACGTGTGCTGACTGAAACTAAACTCGTTGGTAGAGGCATATAACCACAGTGCGGGAATTCTAGTTACATTTCCTTTAGGTGAGTCCAGTACAATGAAATCATTGACCTTATGGCTCAAGGCTAGAGTATCAGCCGGTCAGAGAGGAAACTAAATTGCAGTATAAAGATCCACGTTTGATAGTTAATTTATGTTTCCCTGACTTGTATAATGGTGTCAAAATATTGCTGAAACTTGAATGATTCTTCTTCTTTTTTTTGGTGCATGCTCCTGTAAATAAAGTTGAGTTTTATCAAGCATTTTGATATAGAAGGTCACGCTGGCCTCTTGGCGTATAATGAAGCTGCCATGGATTATTTACTCACTGTACTCATCAGCGTAACAGGGAAAGAACACAATCTGCAGAGGGTGGTAGGTGGGTGGTTTAGGTCAACAAAGGCCCACCAGGATATTTGTGGCCTTATTTACTCCTACAAACATTGCTGCAAAGGTGAGTCATGTTCGAATAAGTGAGATCGTTAATTGGAGTTTGGGTGCATGAAGGCATTTTGCAGGCTTTGCACGTACACATATGGAGCTGCCTTCCTTTGCATAGCCATGCTTTTATTAATCAGAAACGATGAAACAAATATGATCTGTAGATGAAAAGGACAATGTGCACCTCAGTGTCACAGTATTTATTAATAATGAATGAAACCGTCTCATCTCAGAGCAGACAACATGTGGATGTCGACCCATACGTTATTAAAACACAGTGTGTGACTTGCACAGCAGCTGGTGAAATAAATCAGTGATAAATTGACCTTTTTTATAAACCAATGCTAAAAGATAATACGAATCTGAACCTTAACCGCAGCCCATAATGTTCTTCTACACTGCTTTATCTATTAGGGGTTCCCTATCTATTTAAAGCGCACTTACATTGTGAAAGAAGTTCATGTTCACATCGTCAAAGCCCCTGTGTATATTTTTAAACTGGCTGGCAGAAATGCAGGTCAGTACCATAGACTGTATTTAAAGATGGACGACAGGTCTCCACTTAATCCCAATATCCAAGATTGGAGACAAAATATCCCGATCGCAATCTACGTTATTTGGGACCAGAGTCTCTGTCGTAGTGATGGCGGAGTAAAGCCGCGGGATCGAGGCCCTGCAGATACAGGCACTCGACCACATGATCAGCTAACAGCCATTTATCAGTGGAACCAGGATCCATCTTGTGCCATAAACAGATTTTTAACTCTAAACTCTTTGATATGGAAATAATGATGAGTTTTCCAAAAGAACGGCCTCATGTAACTCTGCGTCACCTTTTCTCTCCCCAGTGGCCATGTACAGGGAGCCCTCTCTACACGACGTCGCTGAGCAGAGTCCGCCCAGGAAAACGCCGAAGACCTCCAGTGACTCACCCGTACTTCAGAACGGCAAGAAAGACCCTCAATCCAAAACCAAAACATCCTCCTCCTAGCGCTCAGAGACACGGGAGGTGGTGCTGGTGGTGGTGGGTGGGGTGGTCGGGGTGCAGCGCACAGGCTACTGGGCACCGGCGGAAACCCGAAAAGGGTTGTTATTGCTACCCCACCCTCCACCACCCCTACTGCCTGCAACACTGACCCCCATGAAAACTCTGCATACCACAATGCACCAGTGTAACGTTGAAGAAAAAGGATCAGGCCTGGGTAGAGTGCAGCTGGCCAATGGGAAGCCCCCATTTACCCTCACAGACCCCCACCCTCCACACCAGCGCGCCACCTTCTTATGTAATAACTTCCATGATTATCCGAGCCTGGGACACAAAAGCAATAACTCCACAAAGAGGTGGACGGTCGCCGAGCATCGTAAAGCATGTCACCGCGGCGTGTTTAACCAGCTGCGAGGAAATCCCACACACCCTTGAGGTGTCATCAGCGACATCCGTCCAGTCAACCAAATATCGAAGTAAAGTCGCCCTGGTTTTACCACGGCGGGTGTAGCGGTCAAATCCATCCCCCTGCAGCACATACTTTAAAAATGGGTTGTGTTTTTTTCCCTGTAGGGTTCTGAGCTAATGTTCTGAGCCATACATACTCTGAGGCTGACACACAGACCCTCGCAGACTTTTGTTCTGCAGCCATCTGCTCCGTCCACGTCTTCTGTGTGTGTCAGCGACTTAGTGAGATGGCCTGGATACTTGTCAGCCTTGTTTGGGGGTGTGTGTGTGTGCGTGTGCCTGTGTGTTCCCTTCTTCTTCTTCTATTCACCTTTGGCGCGATTTTATTAGTTTGTGACATGGACTCAATTTTCCACTCGGCGGAACTATAAAACCCCTCCCGTCCTCTTTGGCTCTGTTAATGGAGTCTGGGGCTGATCAGAATCTTTCGACCCTTAAACGAGGGGCCAAGAGCTCCCTCGACACCCTGTATAACCACACACACACACACACACACACATGTTATCACTCTGACATTTACACACACACGTGGAGGTAGTCGCCCACATTTCAGTTCCCTGATATCCTCAAGCCCAAACCCCGAAAAAATGATCTCACAATGATATGCATTAACACACACATACACAAATGGTAACGTGGAGGTGTGTGTGCAGGTTCTGGGAGATGATGAGGACATCATCAGTGAGATGTGGTGCTGATGGAGCCTGACTTGTGTAGCTTGCACTGCAATAGCATCTCACTGTTGGTGGTCATGCATTGCACAAACACCTGATGCCCACACAGTATCTGTTGCTGTCCGTCACCCTGTGTAATGTTTCTGTTGATAAGTATATGCATATATAGTCATTTTGTGCATATGATAGTAGTTGCTGCAGCTGCATGGCTACTTCCATAACTTTCTCCTGAAATATTCTGCATACTGTATTCCTCTCATGTTCACTCGTTTTTAAAAGGGCACACCATATGTCGAAGTCAGGAAACATGCCGCGGAGAGTGCTAATTACCCTGTGCAAACACTTTTTGCTTAATTTCTTTCGTTCCTGACTTGAAGGCTGATGCAACACACTGGCTTTGCTAAAACTGTGTTGACTTATGTGGTATATTCAATTCAGATGATTTTCTGCACTCAAAATATATATACTCAAAACATCAGAATTTTACCTAAGACATGCTCGACTCTGGAGTGTCTGGTACACACCTTACCCACAAAGCTGTGCACACAGGAAATAGAGTAGCTATCCAACTGTCAAACATTAACCCCCCCCTCCCCAAAAAAGTATGAGTCTTTGGCAAAACATACTCATGTATGTTTGTGAAGCTTGATTCTCAACCTTTAGCAATGACATGGTAATTGCTTCATCGTATACCAAAACAATTACTGTGTAGTACGGATAATGGCATTGGGAAACACCAAAATGTCTTCCCACAATTGAAATGCACAATTGCAAAAAGTGAATATATAGAGGAAAAGCTGATATTGTGCATTTCATTGCATTCGGATTTTTGTGTTGGAGATTCAGCCTGATGTGGTTAATGTAAGCTGCACTGAGTTTGTGCTACTAAAACTTACACAAGTTTACATGACACATTTGAACATTAACATTCAGGTGGGCAGGTGTGTTTCACAAAATCGACAAACAGCCTCACCTTACTTACACCTTACGTTACTCTGCCTTCCACACAGCTTCTCAGATGCTCTGGTGTCGTGATCATCTGCCCAGGAGGACTTTGCTTTTGTAGCATCCACCATTTTTGTTGCAGAACAACATAACATTGCAGTTTTACTTGACTGAGAGCTCGATAGGGCAGGCAATAGGTCAAGCTGACAATGATCGCCCTCTGCTGGATCAGGAGAACAACGACTTCAGAGGCTCTGATGCGCTTTTTGAAATCGAACAGGTCATTACATGAATATGAACTTTTCCCTCCATGTTTGAATGAATTTTGGGATAAAAAGTGATCAGGCCTTCCAGTCTTTATTTATATTTATTTATTTATTTACTCCTCCTGTGCTGTTTCAAGTTTGATTTCTGTCTGGAGAAAAATAACGAAAACCAAAGTCTTGTATAGAGAATGAAACTGACAGCTAAAGTACGTACTGTGATTCTTAAAAAGAGAAACAGAAAGATCGATGTATTATATATTTATTTTCGGTCACATTTTTGTTAGTGTTTCTTCTCGTTGAAGAAAGTAAAGTTAGCAATTTTAAAATGTCATATTCCTCTTTCTGGACACCCTGTTTTGCGTGTTTCCATTTGTTGTTTCCATTCAGTGGGAAAAGTAATCATTTATTACAATATGCCGGGCGGGGGTGATTGTTTCTGCCCTAATGTTTATGTATTGTTGGAAGCGAGGGAGTCTCATGTGTAGCGGAGGTAGAGACGAGGATAGATTGATGATTAGGAGTCAGAGAGAAAGAGAGACAGAGAGAGAGAAAGAGAAAGGACGATGCAAAAAAGGAAACAAGAGATTTTCACTGTGGGAAAATTTGTGATGATGAGCAGAACAAAGACAGATTTAAGAGAGAATTATGGTAATGAGAACAGCGTCCCCTGAACACACACACACACACACTTCACCTTCTATGCATAATCCTCGGCGCCCCTGTAACCTGTGGTTGTAAATAATAATAGCTGATAACCGGTGCAGAATGGAGGCGAGCTGCTGAGCAAAGTAATCTGCTTCCTGAGATGATGAAGCAAACTTTACCTCTGATTTCCTGAGGAGAAACAAATTAAGTGAGGAAGGAAGGAGAGTGTTAGAAATTGATGATGGAGGAAAGAAAGAAAGAGGGAAGGAGGAGAGGTGAGGAAAAGCAACTTTCTGTTTGGTGACGCGTTAGCGAGTTGCTCCCATTGTGTTTCAGATTTATTCAAAATAAGTTACTATTAAAACCTCACTTTCACACCAAAGACCTTAATTAAGCTGTTAAATAGACCTTCAGGTTGGTGTGTTTGACCAGTCACCCCCTATGGATCACTAAACCCAGAACACAGTGTTTGACTATTATTCGCAAAGTAATTACACAAATGTTTAATTAAATGAGGCTCCCGCCTGCTCGAGTAGAATTAAGAGCGCGTGGGACAAGATGGAGAGATACTGTTAGAAGAAAGGAGAGGAAGAAGTCAGCAAACAGATGTAGCAGCAACTTCACTCACTTCTCCTACTATATATTTTAAGGGCTTTGAAAATCTACATTGATATATTTTCTCACGTAAGCGTCTTATTTGTTTTTTTCAGAATTTAGGCAGACTTTCAATTTAAAGACAAAAAGTGGTTAAGGGCTAAAATAGTTCAAATAGTTAAAGTGTGTTATTAATTTGATGACAAATGTTTGTGCGCTTTGATACAGATACAAAAATACAGACGATGCTTAATGCAACAAATGCTTGAATACGCACAAGGGTAGTTAAAGGGGCATTCCTCCGGTTTTAACACATAGAGCTCAGCTGAGAACTGTAGAAAAATGTTTTCTAAAGATGCGTTCAAACAGAGAGTGAAGCACGTTTTGCACAAGTTGTTAAATTTGACCACACGGTTTTGGATTATTGTGAGAAAACAACCGCGGTCATGTTTTGGCTTGGTATTTATGGTTTCCACTTTCAAAATAACCAAGCATTTATGATGCACAGATTGTATTTGAGTTGCTTTATGGCAAATTCAGATCATTTCAAACCAAAAGCTGAAACATCTTATATTGAACATCTTATAAGAGCGTTCGTTTCAGTTTTAGAGCAGGTGTTATTGATTTCATCTTCAGAACGCTCTAACTTAAAACCCTTCATTCAAACTTAAATATACTCTGCTTGTGTTTAGATTTCCAGCGAGTCTGAAATCCAAGAGCAGAAGAAGAAATCAAAAATGTTTCACACGCACAGAAGCAGCGTGAGCGCGAGGAGAGCTGAAGCTGGAGCACAGGAAATTCAAGCCCAAGCAACGGCTATTTGAGTGCGAACACAAGGTTTTAAATGAAAGCATTACAAAATCTGAACTTGAAAACAACAAGTCCTGCTTTCGAACTTAAAGACCACATCGTGTATAAAGAGAGAAAAAAAAACATAATCCCAACCTCTGCTGCTTTGATTCTAAAAATGATCTATAAAATCTGTCAATGGAAGTGAAATACTAAATAGTTGGAGTGCCTCTTTAACCCTAAGATAAATGCAGTATTACTTTTTGTTGATGCATAAGCCTGTACAGATGCAAAAAAGATGATATTTATAAGGTTACAGTCTCATCACCTGCCTCATACTGTTTTTTTAAATAATTTTAGTTATTTAAGGAAACGACAGCCACGATTTTGTTGAAAACAAGCCATCAGAAGCTCTGTTTGTTTTTAGCGACTGGGCCGTCAGTCAACACTGACGCCCAGCGAGCGATTCTCGATTGAGAAGTTCATACCACAGTATGTCTGGCGATACAATCCATCGCAGATGATCCATCTGACACTTTAAATTGCATCAATCACCACTATCTCACTTTTCCACTGTAGAATATGCAGATAAATGAGCTTTTTATTATACCAGCTTGCAGACTGATTTTTTAGTCGAGTCATTTCAATCAACCAGGATTCACGTCTTCTTTATTTATGAAATGTTGCTGCCCATAATGACCTGTTTTTTCAGCCATAATAGAATTACTGTGTTTTTGCAGGAGCTGCAACACATTTTATCTTTCTAAATAATAGCAATAGATGCAACCTGTTATTCTTGGATTCCTTTCAAGAGACCGGTTTCACATTTAAAAAAAAGGAAAGCATGAAATATCAGTTTGCAGTGTTGTTGATTTTGGTGACAAAAGGTTGAGTGGTAGTGTGTGTGTGTGTGTGTGTGTGTGTCTGTGTGTGTTTTGCCATGTTCATGCTCTACCTCTTTTTTCCCTCTCTCTCTCCGTAACTCCTTTGTGAAGTGTGAAATCAGACTCTCTGTTCGAGCCCTTCTGCTCTCCAGGCTTCAGGCCT